AACATGAGACATGAAGAACAAACATTTTTAGAGCTGATTAAACACTAGATATGAGGCAAAATAATGATATAAAATATTAATGAATGGACTGAAGCAGAACCAAGTGGACAAGAAGAAAGAAAAATACCAATAAATATGAAGAGTGAGTATAAATTATCCAAACTGAGTAACACATGAAAATAAAAAATTTCAGAACACTGTGACTATGTGGGATCATAGAATCCAAAGTTCAGGTTGTCAAGAGACCCAGAAAGGACAGGAGAGTGGGGCTTAGACTCACAGCTGGAATATTTCCAAACTTAGCAAATAGCATATGCCATGAATTTGGGCTAAGAAACCCCACAAAATGGTATAAGGTCTGAAGATATTTAGGGCAAGGCATATCAGAAGCTAAAGAAAATGGAAAAAAATTAATTTCAGGTTGTAAGAAAGCAGGTTGGGGAAATTACAGGCTTTGCTCCTGGAGTGTGTTTCTCACATGATCTTCCTGTGACCTTGAATTTACATTTTTAATAAGCCCCACTGGATGGTTGTCAGGTGATGGATTCTAAGGCCTATTGCTATTCTAACAATGGTGGCATATCCTCAGCATACCTCATTGTCTCACAGACTCTAAGAAGCCTGGTGATGGAGGGGGGAAACTTAGCAGAATACTAGCTTGGACTTCCTATTCTTAAATATGCTAGTAGGCATCCAGCAAGAAAAAGAAGGGTTGAGGAATTCTAGGGAGAACACCCATTCACAAATTAATCAGAGACCTCCATTCATAAAAGTATAAGCATAGTTGAGTTACTAAGACACTAAAGCAACCAGCAAATATCAAGATGTGGTTTTGCTCTTCTTGGGAACAGAAGGCAGTCCAGAATTACTCAGCAGCAGTATGCAGAATCCAGCCTTGCTGGAGCCACAAAGTCCTGATGCATGAGGAAGTTAGGAAGACACCCAAGGCTCACCTTCTCTATTCCTCAGATCTGCTAGTGCTTCATACCACCAGAACTTCACCATGAGATGATAGAGGCTCTGGCCACATAGAAGGCAATAGAGGCAGACAGTAGGCTTGGGGGCAAATGAGAATAGCTGGTGCTGTCAAACTAATGGCAAGAGGCTGCATGATAAGCACCCTGCGTGTAGATTTAAAATGGCCAAAAGATAAGGAGCAACACTTCTGTTTTGCCTACGTGGGTGGCACAATTTTTCTTTTTAAATAATAAATCCAATATAGGCTCACAAGGCAGAAATAGAGATTAAGCATGAAAATCTGTCTTTTGTGTCTTCCATCTACTCTCATTTCTCTTAATTTAAAAATGTGTTGGGATTCCTTCCAGGGCTTTAGCTGCACACTTTTATCTAAAAGGGATAGCTTTCCTTTTCACATTAATAAATAAGTATAGGTTTACAAATTGACTTTGAAAATGCACACCCTAAGAGGTTTTTTGTTGTTGTTTCTGCCTGTCTTGTGTAGCATTACTTAACCTATGGGTCTTCTGTGACCAGCAGTGTATAATGAACATTTTTAGGTTATGACAGTTGATATACACTGTGTAATAATAACCAGGGACAGGGGAGGAGAAGGAGGGAGGGCAGGATTAGGAGGGCATGAGGGAGGGCTACAACTGGAATACAAAGTGAATAAATTGTAGTAAATTTTTAAAAATTAAAAACAATAATAACCAAAGTAGTAGAAATTCTGTCTTCAGCTAGATATGGTGCCATCCCAGTCCTAGTCCTTGGGATACTGAGCTGGGAAATTCTGAGTCTGCCACAACCTGGAGCTTCAAAGTGTTGTGTTGTCTCAAAAACAGTCTGCCTCTTTTAAAAGTTAGTCCCATTCACTTCTGAAACTTGTATGATGTAACTAGTATCCTGAATCTTACAGACTGTCTTTGTTCATTCTATTCTTTTGTTGGTTAAAATACCTGCTAGGTTCAGAAATTCTAT